TCAGCTGTAACTGCTCGCACGTGTTTGTGTGTGTGTGAGTGTGCTGGCCTGGATCAATGTTGCTTTCCAGGTGATAGACGCTTTTTCAGGGCTCAGCAGATGCACCGGGATCAATGCCACTTTCCAGGAGATTGGTGCTTCTTCAGGACTCAGGAGAAGTGCCAGGATCAGCTCCGGAAGACACACCAATCAGGCAGAAAGGGGAGCTGATCCTGGCGCTTCCCCTGAGCTCTTCCGGCTTCAGAGAAGCACCGATCAGGCAGAAAGGGGTGCTGATCCTGGTGCTTCCCCTGAGCTCTCCCGGCCTCGGAGGAGCGCCAATTAGGCGGAAAGGGGCCGAGCTCTCCCAGCCTCGGAGAAGCACCGATCAGGCAGAAAGGGGTGCTGATCCTGGCACTTCCCCTGAGCTCTCCCGGCCTCGGAGAAGCACCGATCAGGCAGAAAGGGGCGCTGATCCTGGTGCTTCCCCTGAGCTCTCTCAGTCTAGGAGAAGCACTGATCAGGCAGAAAGGGGTGCTAATCCTGGCGCTTCTCCTGAGCCTTGCCAGTGGGATGCGCGCCTCTCGGTGTCATATGATTTTCAACATTTCGCTCGAAGCAGGGATGGAAAAAGAGAGAAGAGCCCCTCTCGTCACGAACTGAGAGCAGACAGTTATTGGCATCGCGGCTCAAGGGAAAGAATATGATTAAAACCGTGTGTGTGTGCACACACACACAGTGCTTTTCTTCCACCACATTTTATTCACATCAATCCTTTTTTTTCTTCGTAACATTGGGAGTTGACAATAGAGACTCTACACAAACGCACACACAAACACTCAGGCGGGCACGCCCCCTCTCCTCATTCAGTTCCTTTTCTTGGTTCGTCCACTGTGCATTCCTGAGGTGGCAGCGGCAGCTTTGGCAGTGTCTCGGTTCTTAAGACCATCGGAAATATGTGTTTTCCAATGGTCTTAGGCGACCCCTGTGAAAGGGTCGTTTGACCCCCAAAGGGGTCGCGACCCACAGGTTGAGAACCGCTGCTTTATTTTACCTCTTATTTTATTACACACTGAAAGAATGGTTTTATGTATTGATTTCAACATAAAAAGGATTTTTTTCTGATCTTCATCCATTTTCTCTTGATAATTTATTAAGTTGAAGATTTTAAAATCAAACATTAAAATTTTTTTTTGTTTTTTATAGCTAGGTATGGGACATCTATTTCACATGTTGTAGGTAGTCTTTATAGTAGAAATTGTTTGCCAAATAAGAATTTATAGTCCAAAGTATTCCATTATCTCATGTAATAACAAATACTTCTCACCTAACAAAATAAGAAAACAATTTCCTACATATAACTCTGAAAATCAATAATGTTTTATCTTCAAGTTTTAATAATAGTTTTTCAAGGTTTATTTCTTTTCTTTTTAGATAAAAAACCAACGTCTCCAGTAAAAATAGGAAAACTTTTAGGCCCCAAACTTCAAAGTTATATGCATCCAATTAAATTAAAGTTGTTTTTATAATTACTCTATTTCCCCTGGGTAGTCAGTCGCTACTGTTCTTAGAGAATGGGGTAAGAATTCCCTTCCCTCTCTCCTCACAGGGGGAGAAATACTTTGGGCAGCAGGAAAAATATTTATAGTCCTAAAGAGAAGATCAGATTTCATCCAGATTCATCTATGTTGCTTTAAGGGTGCTTGGTAGTAGTTTTGACTTTGGCTGTCAGCAGCTTAATGACAAGCCATATTGCTATGGCCGATCTTTTCCCCGCTGGCTTGGAGAGCTGCCCCAGATCAAGCAGCAGGGCTGCCACCCTTCCGCAATCAAGTGGGGGGTACTCTCCTTGCTTGTTGCCCCTACAGGGTGACTTTTGACCCTTTCCAGGGTCCCCCAGTGGGATAAAATCGGATGCTGAAGATGCATCCACAGGGGCCGTGTTGGCAAACTGGAAGTCTGTAGTGTTGTTTCTTAATATGTGTTTCTTGGAGACAAATTATATCCATTTTTAATCTTTGTAGTAAAAATGTCTTTCCTTTTTATAGGGGAGTTCAATCCATTTACATTTATGGTAAGAATCCCATTTTCCTTCTCCATCTCTTTCAATTATATATAGGTCTTGAAGTTCTAGTTATTCTCATCTGTCTCTGTTCTCTTGGTCTTACCACTTCTTCTGTCTTTATATTTTCAGTTTCTCCTTCTTCCCTTGGCTTGGTGCTCCTTCTATTGTCGTTTCTTCCTGTCTCTTTGTTTCTCTTTCTGGACAGGATTCCGAACTTTTCCCTTCCATGAAAGCTCTGTGGTTGTCATAGAACTCCATTGCCTTATATGGTATGTCCAATCTGTATCTTTTCTCATCCTAATTAATTAAAATCTCTTCTGGAATCAGCCATCTGAAATTCACTCCTTTTTCAGTTAATTTTCTAGTCAGGAATTGATATTCTCTTCATATCTCTCTTATTCTCCTTGGGATCTGTTTCAGGACTACAATCTCTTTTTTTTATATCGCAACAGGTCATCTCTCACTCTTCTCAAAATCTCATTCCTTATGGATCTTTTGACAAATCTAACATGTACCACTCTGGGGACTTTATTTCTTCTTGCATAGCTTGAATTGACTCAGAATATTTGATCTAAACTCTCCTTCCATTTCTTGTTTCCCAATTTCCAGTGCTTCAGCCAATAGCTCTGTTATCAAGTCCACAAGGTCCTCTTTTTTGTCCTCTATTATATTTTGAAATCTTAGGAAGTAAAATGCTCTTTCCATTTCCATAACTGCAACTGAGTCTTCCATTTCTCTGTTAATCTGTATCAGCTTTTGATTCTCATCTATCAGTTTTGCCAACTTTTGATCAGTCTCTAGTGACTTATGTTCTACTTTTTGAATTCTTTGTTCATTTTTTGTAACCATGTGTTTGAAATTTTCTACTTGAGAGTCTATGTTGTTAATTTTTTGGTTCATTTTATCAAGATTGTTTTTTGTCTCTGCATGGTTTTTCCTTGTATCTTCTTGATTTGGGGAGCAGGAGCCAAGCACTCTGTGGCTTGGTGACCTTGCTGACTGCATCTGAAGCACTTTGTGGGAGCTCTGGCAGGTGGTTTGGGAGTACTGGCTGCAGAGGCAGATTGGGGGAATTGACCAAATAAGCACTTCTCTGGTTCCTGTCTTGGCTTCGACCCTATGACTGCCGGCTTCTTTGATCAATCCAGCTTGATTTCTAGGGTAACTGCCATGCTGTACCACTCTCAGAGTTGGTTTGGAATTCCCTGGTAGATGCACGCTTGGAGTAGGTCATAGTCCAGCCCTTGCTTGAAGTAGTGGATTAATAATTGCTCGGGCCACTGTCCCAAGCAACCAATGACTCTTTGGAATTCCCAGACATATTCCTTTGCCAGATGACCATTTTGTTTTAAATGGTAGAGCTCTTTTTCCACCTGCAGGGCTTGGGATTCATCTTCAAACCTTGCCTTCAATTGCTCCATGAATAATTCTGGAGCTTCCTCATCATGCAAGTTGGTCACCCACTCAGCTGCTTCTTTCTCCAAGTTGCCTGTCACCACATTCACCACGTGGTATCGTCAGGGTAGGCATAAGCATAGTGATTGAAGTGGGCCCACACTTGGTTTAGGAAGAAAGGTAACATCTCGGGGTCTCCATCCAATGTGGGCTTGATAGGGGGTGGCTCAAGGTGTTGAAAGGCCAGGTACATTGGCTGATGGGTTGTGGCCATACTACTTTCTGTATTACTCTCCATAATCCCCTCGGTGGGGCTCTTGGGCTTGCGGTTTGAAGCTGTTGCAGAGAGCTTGGTTGGAATTGGGGACTCGAGATTGCCGCTGAATGGGGAGCGGGTGATGTAGCACGGGCCCCAACTATAGTGCTGGGACTCCGGTGGGGAGGTGGAAGCAATGGATAGGTCCTGGCCTTACTCCCCATCGAACACCTGCACTGGGCTGCAGGAACCTCTTCTCTGACTTCCAGCCAATCAAACTTCTCTTTCAGCTATTCAACCAAAGGACTGTGGACTGCAGTTTGGTACCTCCACTCTGTGGAGCTGTCCCAACCAGTCAATCCCTTCCCCTTCTTCTGCACTGTGGATGATGATCCATGGAGTGGAATTAACAAAAGCTTCTCTTCAGTAGTCTTAGGGGTGCTTCAGCACTGAGGGGCCGCCTCTGCCTTATAGAGGTCTGGCAGAATCATGGTTCCTTCTTGCGGCACCAAGTTTCCCGGTTGAATTATCTAGCTCCTTGGCCAGGCCCCTCTCATCAGCTCTTCTTCACTAGTCGGAGCAGCTGCTTGGTGCTCCGCCAGCCAAATCCCTGCTGCGACCAGCACTGGATTCCTCTCTATTTTCCATATTGAAATCTTTGCGGATTCTTCGCTGTCCTCCCAAAGCAGTGGGTAGGCAGCCAGGGCTCAGCACCCCAGGAAAAATAGCATTTTGAGTGAGACTTGGTTTAATGTCATGGTTCCAATAGATAAGACCAAACAAACCAAAACTCCGAGGCTAGAAACTTTCTCAAAGAACATGTTTATTGGTTACATAGTATCAACATGGTCAAAAGTGAAACCAAGTCTGAAATCCCTTTCAAAGAGAAATACTATTACAAAGTTAAACTTCCCACCCCATTGCTATGTAGCTACGTTTTCCCAATAGAATAGTTTGGCGGGCTTTCTAACCAAATGCTCATGCCCCCCCACATAACCAACAGAAATGATTTTGGTTCCCATGGGACAGTGAAATATTTAGACTAGCAGAAATCCTCCGCACCTCTTCCCATTCTTGTGGTAACCTACAACAAGCAGGATGATTGCAGCCTGGTTCATTGTAGAGTTGACATAATGCTTTTAAACAATAATAATTTTAAATCCAAAACAGAAGTCTAAAATCTTATTAGTTTTGATTTGCAGTGTGATGAAACCCAGAAAATTCTATCTACTGTCTTCTGACTGAGTGGGAATGACTGAGTTTGAAATTCACATTCACATGTAAAATATTTTTTTGTAATTGCAGATACTTAGCTGAACATGGACAGCCAAAAGAATTTCCCCATTGGGGACCCTTGTCACAGATCGTTACAACTACCGAACCACAGAATTCTTTCAATAAGAGGGAAAAGGAACGACTTACAATTTGAAAGAACATTTGTCTCAGTGGCACAATTCTAGGTTTCAAAAGATAAATGTGCAACAATAAATTGTAACATGGATTTCTTTTTAAAAATCAACACCCTTTCAGTATTTGTCTGTATGATATAGAAAAGTTGTGTTCCATATAATAATGCATTTCTTTTTGGCTTTCAGTTTATCAGAGATATCTTTGTGCAACCAAGCTGGTTTCTTGTTGGATTTCTTGCTTTTCTTTTTTAGTGGTATTGTGCTGGACTGGATTCTTATATGATCATATTTTTCAGAGTTTCCCAAGCTTCTTGAGTTGTTTTCCCCTTTAGGATTTTCATCCAAGGAATCTTTCTCAAGCTCTTTCTGAGTTTGTTAAAATCAGATCTTTTAAAGTTTAAGACACTGGCCGGAGTATGTTCTATGGCTTGTGTTTGAATTCCAATATGACGAAGCCACTCTCGCCCAAAGTTTTGTCAACTTCAACTCCCTCTATCACTTGTTCTCTATTAGTAAGAATTAGGTCTAGTATAGCTTTTCCTCTGGTTCCTTTCTCTAACTTTTGGATAACAAAGTTGTCAGCTAGGTAGGTTAAGAATCTGTTTGATCTTCCACTTGCTGCAGAGTTTGTCTCCCAGTTGATATCAGGGTAGTTAAAGTCTGCCTTTACTACTGTGGTATGGTTCCTACATACATTTGTTAATTGTTAGCAAAAAGTTCATCTGTTTCTTATGCTTGGTTGGATTGCCTGCAGTATACAACTATAGCAATGTCAATTTTTTTCTTTTATATTGTCTCATATCAATTCTAGGAGGTTTTGTTTCTTGGTTTTGTGGATTTCTGTAGAGATATAGTAATCTTTTATATATAATGATCCTTCATTTGTTAGGTCTCTTGCTTTTGAATAGTTTGTTAGGTCTCTTGCTTCTGAATAGTTTGTATCCTTCCATCAATACATTCCAGTCATGAATTTCATCCCACCATGTTTCAGTAATAGCAACTATATCATATACTTCATGTACTAGTACTTAAAATTCACCCTGTTTGTTCCCTGAACTTCGAGAGTTTGGGTATAGGCATTTGAATCCTTTTGGGTCTTGGGTATGTTCCCCATATTTTCTACTCTACAGTTGGGTTTTCCCTCTTTTCCATCACTCTCTACTTCATTGTGCATTTCTTTTTTTCTTTTTCTTTCTCTTTGCTCCCTCCCTTCCTATCTTATATGATTGATTATTTAGTGGTTTTTAATTGGAATTATGTTCTAAAGGTCTTGAAGATGCCCCTGCCCCTTCAATCTAATAAAACCCTGTTTTACTCTGGATGTTATTACGAAGAGCTCCAATGTATCTTGATTGTTCTAACTACACTTCTGCAATTGCTATATAAGATTTTAATCTAATAACATGGTCACTTACTCCATATTGGGTCATTGTTTGCCAAAATAGTTTCCTTTCAGCTCTATTAAATGCTTTCTTTTGGTCTACAAATGCATTAAAGAGATTCTTTTGTAGTCAGTATTCTTTTCTATTAGTTGTTTAAGCATAAAAAATTGCATCTGTGCAGCTTCTATTTCTTCTAAAGTCCATTTGTTCTTCTGCTTATTGTGGTTTTATAACTGGTCTTAACGTCATTTCTATTAACTTCTAATATATAATAATAATAATAATAATAATAATAATAATAATAATAATAATAATAATAATAATAATAATAATAATAATAAAGTTGGAAGGGACCTTGGAGGTCATCAAGTCCAACCCCCTGCTCAGGCAGGTAACCCTATACCATTTCGGACAAATGGCTGTCCATTCTCTTCTTAAAAACTTCCAGTGTTGGAGCATTCACCGCTTCTGGAGGCAGGTTGTTCCATTGGTTCCCCACCCAGGGAAGCCCCAGGATCCCTGCTGGGAGTGGCCCACTGGAGGCTCCGCTGAGCAGGCCAGCCCTCCCGCAAGCTGTGGCCCAAGGGAGACCAGCTTCTGCGATCCCCAGACAGCCCGACTATTGGCCCCGTTGGCCGGGAAGGCGCACCGGAGTCCAGGCTGCCGGGAAGGAAGAAGGAGATGCAGCAATGGTAGGAGAGGAGACCCTCCTCCTGGGGCCTGGCGCTGGCAGCGGTTTCCTCACCCTCCTCTCCTTCTTTCTCCTGGTGCCCCCTGGGTGGCTTGGGCGGGTGCCGGGACAAGAGGGGTGCCTGGGAGGAGCAGCCGGGCTGGCAGAGGGGCTGGCAGAGGGGCTGGCAGGGGCCGCATGGCACCAGCCCCCACCACGGCTCCATTGGATGGGCAGAGAGTGAGGCCAAGCAGCTCAGAGTCCCGGCTGGGGCAATGGTGGCTGCTTCCTCACCCTCCTCTCCTTCTTCCTCCTGGTGCCCCCCGGGCGGCTCGGGCAAGTGCTGGGCCAAGAGGGGTACCTGGGGGGGGGAGCAGCCAGGCTGGCAAAGGGGCTGGCGGGTCGCATGGCACCAGCCCCCACCATGGCTCCATCGATGGGCAGAGGGCAAGGCTGGGGAGCGTGGAGTCCTGGCTGGAGTGGCTGCTTCCTCGCCCTCCTCCTCTCCTTCTTCCTCCTGCTGCCCCCCAGGTGTCTCGGGCGGGCACTCTCACCGCGGCTCTATCGATGGGTGGAGGGCGAGGCAGGGCAGCGCGGAGTCCCGGCGGGGGCGGCGGCCGGGCCAGGGGCGACGGGGACCCCCGATGATGCAGCCGTGCTGCTGCTGCCATCACCAGAGCCACTGCCTCCCGCCCTGCTCCCCTCCCCGCCCATTCGGCTGAGGACGTGGCGGAGGCTGGGCTGGGGGCAGAGGGGATCCCCCAATGATGCTGCCATAAGAGAGAGAGAGAAAGAGAGAGAGGAAAGAGAGAGAAACAGAGGAAAAGAGAGAGGAAAGAGAGAGAGAAAGAGAAAGAGAAGAAAGAGAGAGAAAGAGAAAGAAGGAGGAAACAGAGAAAGAGAGAGAGAGAAAGAAAGAGAGGAAAGAGAAAGAGAAAGAGAGGAAAGAGAGAGAAAGAGGAAAGAGAGAGAGAGAGAAAGAGAGATAGAGGAAAGAGAAACAGGAAAAGAGAGAAGAAAGAGAGAGAAAGGGAAAGAGAGGAAAGAGAGAAAGAGGAAAGAGAAACAGAGAGAGGAGAGAGAGGAAAGAGAAAGAGAAAGAGAGGAAAGAGAGAAAGAGAGAGGAAAGAAAGAGAGAAAGAGAGAGAGGAAAGAGAAAGAGAAAGAGGGAGAGGAAAGAGAGAAAGAGAGGAAAGAGAAAGAGGGGGAGAGGAAAGAGAAAAAGAGAGGAAAGAGGGAAAAAGAGGAAAGAGGGAGAGAGAGAAGAGAGAGAGGAAAGAGAGAAAGAAGAGAGAGAGGAAAGAGAAAGAGAAAGAGAGGAAAGAGAGAAAGAGAGAGGAAAGAGAAAGGAAAGAGAAAGAGAGAGAGGAAAGAGAGAAACAGGAAAAGAGAGGAAAGAGAGAAAGAGAAAGAGGGAGGAAAGAGAGAGAGAAAGAGAGAAAGAGGAAAGAGAGAGAAGAGAGAAAGGAAAGAGAAAGAGAGAAAGAGAGAGAGAAAGAGGGAGAGAAAGAGAGGAAAAAGAAAGAAGGGGAGAGGAAAGAGAGAAAGAGGGGGAGAGGAAAGAGGGAGACAGGGAGAGAGAGAAAGAGGGAGAGGAAAGAGAAAGAAGAAAGAGAAAGAGAAAGGGGGAGAGGAAAGAGAAAAAAGAGGAAAGAGAGAGAGAGGGAGAGGAAAGAGAGAGAGAGGAAAGAGGGACGGGGAGAGAGGAAAGAGAAAAAGAGAGGAAAGAGAGAGACAGAGAGAGACCGTTTTGACATCTAAAATGAAGATAACACTGCATATATCCTTGTTTACCTTTATTTTATATACACACACATAAACACAGATACATACATACATACATACATACATACATACATACATACATACGTTAAAGGTAAAAAAGGATATATGCAGTGTTATCTTCATTTTAGATATCAAAGGGGTTTTGTGGCTCCCACGTGTCCAAGTGGCTCTTTGAGTGTTTTGGGTTGCCTACCTCTATCCTATACTATACCTGTACATTTGGTTTTTCTTGCCTAAATGTAGAACCTTACTTTTTTCACCATTGAATTTCATTTTGTTAGATAGCGCCTGTTGTGTCCTGAGCCTGCAGTAGCAGGCTCGGGATGTTGTCATGGTAACGGGCTGTTGCAAAGCTGCCTGGGACCAGACAAAGTGGCGCCAGCCTGCGCGCATTTTCTTGTATCCTTTTTACGCGGGAATTCTGGCTATTAAAAAGGAAGAGAGAGGCCTGCGAGCCTCTGAGTTGTGACAGAGTAATCAGGAGGGGAATAAAGAACTTGTTGCTGACAGTATGTGTGCCATTCTTTCGCTGCTAAGACAAGGACTTAACACTGGCGACGAAGGTGGGATCGTCTTGCAAGCTGAAAGAAAAAGATTGTAAGACTTACCCAAAGGAGTGCTTGAAGAAAGGAAGACGGCGTTAAATTCAGCATCTGGCCTGCCAGTATAGTGTCGCTGAAGGTAAGCTGGCTGATAGACCCCTTTCTGAATAGCAAGCAAGAATGGCAAAGATTGGGAGGCTGTCAGAATTTGACGTAGCTCGCCCAGAGAGATGGGAGTCTTATGTTGCTAGAGCAGAGACTTACTTCAGAGTAAACCAAGTTAGAGAAGATGGCTTGAAGGCTGCGACCCTGTTGTGTGTCTGCGGTCAGGACGTGTTTGAGATTGCAGAAAACTTGGCAGCCCCTGCTCCTCTAGAGTCTGTAACATACACAGACTTAAAAAATCTATTGAAAGAGCATTTCCAACCAGAGATGTCTGTCATTGCATGGAGACATACTTTTGAACAAAGGGATCAGAGGGCAGGAGAATCAGCCAAGGAATTTATCGCAGCATTAAGAAGAGCAGCCAAACCATGTGACTTTAAGGATTTAGAAGAAAGACTTAGAGACCGTTTTGTATGCGGGTTAAGGAACAGAGGGCTGCAACAAAAACTCTTTGCAAGAAAAGACCTCTCATTCCA